ATATGCTCTCTGAAGATATCCATATTTTTTTTCATTGTCTGTTTGTTCTGTCACAGTTGCCAATTTTTGAAGGTAATGTGAAAAATCACAATATTTTCGTGTGTATCTAAGGTGGCAACTACCACCTTAGAAATTGCAGGTGGGACTTAAAAATTTCAGGGGAGACTGACAGTCAGAAACTCAACCAAAATGCATACAACTCAATATCGGCAAATCCGAAGATTTTTGCTGAAAAATGACCAGCCAAATAAGAAAAAGCTAAACTGATTATTGTTGCTGTTTTTCTTCTTGAGAATAATGGTAAAGAAAAAAATTAATTGTAAGAATGTTGGAAGAGGCAATTTCAAGTGAAAAATGCAGCTTTATTTCAAAAGAAAAAGAGAACCATTAAATTATCTTCAATTTCTTCCTACTTATGATTATTTGTAGCTTCCACCTGGAACAAGTTCCTTAATGCATTTGACCAAAAAACTCCAGGTAGAGAAGTTTGGTAAGTGGACATGATCACAAGATCTTCGATGTGCATGGACAGTGTCCCCAGTTTGTGCCTGGCTCATTTGGTAGTTTGTTATCAGCATTAGGCACCTAAAAGCTTGTATTTTGATATAATTAAGAATATAAAAATTGTAAAGGTTTACATTGGTTTTAGGTGCTATTGCCTAAAAGTTTTACCTTGGAAATGATGGCGCAACTAATGGAGAAAAACAAAACAAGCTCCATCTGCTGAGCCAACGGCAAGAGAATGGTAGTGATATGAGGCACCTGCTAGTTTGTCCACAACAGACATGGCATGTACGTACATGCCACCTGGTGACAAGGGGTTAACATAGTTCCGTCTCAAAGAGGAGATCTTAGGATTTACAAAATATCCAGATATCCAGAAAGAGTTACTGGTCTTACAGCACAAAAGAAAAATAGAATTAAGTGGTTTTCATGAAAAATCTTCCTAGACCAGCAATCTCCCCCAGTCAATAAAGAGTAGTGACAAGTTCAAAAGACAGGAAACTCCTACTTACAGCCTGAAGCTGACAGTAGCATTGCAATAATTAAAGGGTTGATGCTAACCATGTATGTATTTTTTCAATATCCAGAGTTATTAGATAATACCATAAACTGGGCTCCTTTATTTTATTTTTCCTAAGGGTCGAGTTCATCCAACTGGCACTAGAGGTGAAACCCCTCAACTTGGGCCAAGGATTCCCTGACTTTGCAGCTCCAGACACTGTCCGAAAGGCTCTTGCTGAAGCCTGCACAGATGAGAAGAATGTCTTGCTTAATCAATACACGCGTGGTTTTGTAAGTAGCAAGGAATATTTTGCAGGCCTCATCTATTTGTGAATATTAATTATTTGTGATTTGTTCATGATTTTGGATTCTATTAAAAAATTTCATTCTACTTTATTTTTGTCATTTACAATGCCTTTCAGCCTATATGCCATCGTGCTTGAAGTCTCTAAAGGAGTTGTAAGGATAGGATAAATCTTGATATGAGGACTCAAGTGACAATTAAACCAATGCTGCCTGGGATGGTATGTATGTACAACTACATAGAAATCTATCGTAAGGAGGGTTGGCAAAAAATTCAATACTGAACTGAACCTTATGTTACAGAAGGGTTGGTATTTTAGGTTTCATATTTGTCTGATTCTAATTCATTTCTCAAATAGTAGTTCCAGAATTCATATGGATTCACTGTAAGATGATGATTTTATTCCCATAAGGGATGGAATATGCCATGCAGTATTCAGATAAACCACACATACCCTAAAGCAGTTGGAAAAACAGGGATACCAACTGTTTCATAGCGTCAACAATTATATTTTAAAAAGTATCATTGCTTGTGTCAGAATGTTTAGCATGATTTTCTAGCAATATTTTTCTGTGTAGTTGTACATGCCATGCCCTTACTGAGTTTAGTTTATTAATTGTCTTTAACCTTTTAACGCCGGTATATTTTGAAGCCGAAAATAAAAGATTCCGAGCGGCTACAAAATCGGCCGGCGGAGCTGCCCCAGAGTGGGGCATACCTGGATCTTGAGGTCCAAGGTTTTTCGTGCTTGTCATCGTGGATGAAGTACAGAGATTTGACACCCCCACGACGAACAAGACGATTGGCTCTTGGTGTAACTGCTTTGGGTGCAGTTACGCAATACCTGCTTTGGGCTAGTGCCTTTAATTACAGCCTTGATGTGCGAGTAATTAAAAGCACGACGCACAGTGGCAGCTGACAGTTTCGCTGCGAAGTGTTCGGCCGAACACATAAGGGCTCACGCCCGTTCGGCAGGGTTCCGACCCCGACCGGCCTTCCCAAATAGAGACTGTTAGCTACCCTGTGTGCTTCACCGTTTTTGATACCATTTCCGACCTTTCATCGTCCAGTTAAATTAGCTCTGCTAGCCTCCCCTCTACCCATCATCCATCACCCTCGCTATGGCGTAACCCTATGGGTCACGTTATCAAATTAGCGTATTCTGGGGAGCCTATCTCTTGCGAGGAGGCTCTCCAGAATATCTTCATTATCACTGAGGTGGCAGTCACACACCTCTTTAAGGTCCATAATGGCTTCAAGGTGACAGTTGCCAAACCCGAACACTTGACCCCATTTCTTTCGGCCGAAGGCCAAAGAAAGTTAAAAGACCACGGCTTCTCACCTGTTCCCTCCCCCGAGATGAAGGCTAAATGTACGATCGTGGCCAAAAAGATCGACAAGACGATCCCCCCACGATCGTGCGAGTCCATCTGCCAGGAGGTTTCCGTCAAGAACGGTGTCACTGTTCTCGACGTCTATAAGCCACCCGAGTCGCGAATCGTCAAGATTCGCGTCTCATCCCCCGAGGAAGCCCAGAAACTTCTCTTACGGGGACTCATGATGTTTAATACATCGGTCCCCACCTACAACTTGGAACCCGAATGCTTCATTCACATCGCCCAATGCCTAAACTGCTACCGCTTCCACCACAAAAAACACCAATGCACACACACCCAGAGATGCTCTCGGTGCGCCGGCGACGGTTTTTCTTCGCCAGGTGCACTGAAAGCATCAAATGCTGCAACTGCGAGGGATCGCATGTCGCAGTTAGTGGATCCTGCCCTAAACGGAAGGAAATACTCAAGGCAAAACGAGCTGAGCTCCGCCAAGACACAAACACTGTACCTTCCTACGCAACAACAGCTGCCACACGACCTGCTCAGACCAGTACACCCAGACGACCCACGACTTCCCCTCGGACAATTCTGCCCACACAACCCCCAACAAAGCACTCTCACACCGAACACAAACCCAAAAATCCAAGCCATCTTACACGTAAGTCTCATTGCTGCCAAGTACAACGCAAAAAGATTCGCAAACATTGTCCCTATCATGCTACAGAGAAACGGCTTCCCCAGCATTATTGTCCCTGAGGAAATCTTTGAAGACGAAAACCTTTACATCCCTGAGTACACCACAACAAACACAGAAACCACAGGAAATGAGGTGACAGACACTCACCCAGAGCCTCATTCTTCCTCACAACATCGACACCTCGTTTTGCAACCTCAGCCACAACGAAGACAAAAAGAAACTGCACAAGCACGCCAAACTACAAAAACCACTGATCACAAACGCAAACAAACCACACCACCATCCATGCACACAAAAAAGACAAGAAGGATCCTCCTGCCCCTGAAGCTCGTCGTCGCAGATTGGATGACACCATTCTCGACGACGATAGTAGCGACTCCGACATCGATGTCGAGAGCGTTCTCGAGGCCGGGCTTGGTCTCTCGGCTGGAGCCATGCTCCCTGCCAGGGGACCCCTGGGACAGCGGAAGCATCGGGAATTGGTCCGCCGATTCCCAGGACTTCCGCGTCGTTCACAGGACTCCCTGCCTGACCTCGAGGAGCCGTCGATCGCGCATCGATCGCGGAGCCGCTACAGGGCTCAGGTAACACCACGCAAGGTACACCCAGGTAGAATGGGTGTACCTTGAGTGGCTAACTGACGACCGACCGAGCCGACGCGTTCTTCCACCCCATGGAGGACCCCGTGTTGGCTAGGTCGATCTAGACGCGCGATCCCACGCACGAGCTGCATCTAAACAAAACAAAAACTCTCCTTCACACACAAACATTTTACTCTCACTAACAACAAACACAACTCCAGCTTGTTCTGATGGAATAAAGCACTCAGACGGTTCCCTGTAGTGGGTCGTGACCGATCTATTACACGTCTGAACTCCGCGAGGAAGCCTCTCGCTTCCTCCTTAACATCCTGTGGGGTGAGTTGGCCTGTAGACAGACCAACAAACTCCGTGCTTGACTCACCACTGGCTGGATGGACTCACCCTCCATCCTTCGTTCCGGCAGGAGATCAGGTTTAGGCCGTGATCTCTTTCTTTGGCATGGGACAGGAAATGCAGTTTTTCGGGTTTTGCAGCATCACTTTGAAGCCACCTCCTACTCATTCCTTTCATTTTTTCCCCTTCCCCTATCCACTCGTTTTGTTCAGTTTTTCAGTGTTCAGTTTTGTGTTCTCTTTTTCTGTCTGTTTTAGTTTTGTTGTTGTTGGTTTTTGTTGTCCTGTACCTTTTTAATCTCACAAATAAAGTAATCTCCCCCAGGTACTGCCCTCTCTTATCCCCGTTTTTAAATACCTTCACCTCGTCTCCTGACGCTTGTGACACCACCTCACCCCTCACCCCTCACCCTCATTCATACCATATCCCTGCCATAGCGATGACCCTCATCCTTATCCTTACCCTGACATCCCACTGGTTTCGGTTTCCGACACGTGGCGCTTGCTGCTAGTACTCGTGCTAGGACCACAAATCCTTTAGCGTAAGGGTTTGTGCGAGCCGAGGAAAGAAGCGTCACGGCCAGTGGAGTTAACCAAATCGTGGTGAGGCCGCCCGAGCCGCGCCCCTCCGGAAGACCTGCGGCCGAGGGAGAGAAATCTCCTCTCGACCCGGGCGGGAGTGGCCAGCCTCTGTGTGGCCTCATTCGAGCTTCATCCTGCTTC